AAAAAGGAGCTGACTGAGCCTAAATCAGGGCTAATGTTTGCTCTAGATCTGGCAGAACAGTGAGGATGCTCTGAGGCTGGGGGAGGAGGGGGTGGGGGGGGGGGGTGGCTAGATCTGGCAGAACAGTGAGGATGCTCTGAGGCTGTGCAAGGAGGGGCTGGTGGCTGCAATGTGCAGCTGAGAGTGAGGGAGCTGCATCTCAGGGAGCCCTTGGGCACACCAGGAGGCCCCGGTTCAGTAAATCCTCCAGGATTGCATAACTTGGAACAAGTGAACAATCCTACAGTGGGGTTACTATGTGCCTCGGGTTATGCAAGTGCTTAAGTGTTTTGCTGGATAGGGGCTCTAATCTCTCAATATCGTTTTCTCCTATCTTTAAAGTGGTAATAATGATTCCTCCATCAGGAAGGGAAGTAATTGATTTAGTCATGATTACAGAAAAGAAGGGGTCTGTAACTACCAAACAAAATAACCCAAAAGCAGGAGAAACAGGGAAGTATGTGGAATAATATCATGGGATGCTAATTTTTAAGAGGCAGTTCTGTTTTGGAAAGTGCTTATGTTAAACTGCGACCTTCTCTTACTCTGGCTAATCATGTGCATTTAAGAAGCAAAACTACCTGGTAAACTCTGCAGGAAGATAGCTAACAGGAGTCAAGTGGATTGTGTTCCTCACACATCAGGAATAGATGCCTTCACATCTGAGCAAAGCCTTCGAAAGCACGAGTGTCCTATCTGGCCTGAAGAACCAGGACAGGTTGTCTGAATAACAGGCTGACTTTCCAGGACCGGGAGTTAGGAAACTCATCGCTTTGTGCATCACTGGTTATGCTGCAAATGCTCTTCTTCAAACACAGCCAGCTACTCGGCATGCTCCCTTGTGAGTGATCCCTGGGGAATATTGTTCTCAACATCGCTAAGACAAATGGAAATTGGAATGACATCATGATGACACTTCTAGATTATAATAGCATTTAGAATTAAGACAAAATAAGAACTAATATGAGAAAATGTACTTATGACTGCAATACTATTATTCCATAAGCCATAGGCTGTTTATTCAAACAGAAGATGTAGCTGTAGCCTGGTAGAGTAAGGGGAATGTTCTACCACGTGCGCTAGCCAAGCCAGTCTCATCGTTAATTGCTGCTGGTGGAGGCAGTCCTGCTGCCCTCTGCCCGCCCTGCCCTGGGCTACTTCCCTGTCCTCCTGCTGGCTCAGGCCCTACATTTCAGTTCAGCTCCCCGAACCTGTAAAAAGAGAAACTCAGGGAAAAAAACAGGAAAGGGATGTTTTCCAGCCCTGATTCACTTAGGTTGGGCATACAGATTTGCCTGACATTTTCCTGCGTGGCAGCTCAACAGCAGCTCTGTGTTCATCTCAGTACTTGGACATTTCTTCAGTAACTTACAGGGAGGGGGAAGGCCTTTAAAAATCAGCTAAAAATATCCTGATAGATAGCTCTGCTATATTCCCACTAACCTCTAGAATTAAGCAATTTCATGCATCATTACCAACCCCAACCACAATCAATGGTTGTAATTGAGACGCAACAAGCCAATGTGTCTCCCACGGCAGGGTTGCACCCGAAAGGACTGCTAGGGCAAAGCGGGTGGAAGGGGAAGGCTGTTTGCACAGCAAATGGCCTCTCTCAAATATAGCCAGGTACTCAGCATGCTCTTTTACGAGCGATTTGATGTAGAACAGCTCAAGCTAGTCATTGAAACAGTGTTGTGCTTTCTGTATAACAACACAGGCTACGAAGCTATAGAAACCTTCTTTTATGTATCATCTACTGTGTTCTTACACAGGCTGATCATTAGTGAAGACAAATTAGTCCTCACTTTTCTTACATACAAAATGTTGCTATTGCTTTAAGCTGTCAGCTACACTAGCAAACACCATGATTTGCTTATTCACTTTAGCAGGGATTATTTCTTATCAGGAGAAAGTCTACTTTTTCAGAACAAGGGGAACAAGGGCTTCTTATGACAAACTCAAGTTGTAGCTGGCTGTGGTGCTCCCAGGAAGCGTGATCCCGTGTAACAGGATGAAGACAGCCTGCAGCCTTTGTAGTCACATCAGTCACCGTGTTGTCTCAATGTAAAATGTAAGCAGGTTGCTTTCGGAAGGGTATTTCTGTAAAATAAATAGAGCTGTGTGCAAACACGGGTCTAAAAGAAAAAGAAATGCCCTGCAGGATCTTTGAAGTCTTCTCATTTTGTTGCCATCGGATTAACCTCCTAGCAGCAAAGAAAAATGAGCTCTATTTGTGCAAGTTAGGACCTTCCAGAGAGTTTGCTCGTGAGGAGGTGTGGGCATGTGGAATGCTGCGGGCTGACAGATAATGTATTTGAAAAAGACTTTGAAGTTGAGCTGAATAGTCCTTATATCAGGTCCTCAAAGTAACTGCGGCTGTAAGTTAAACTTGAAAAATAGAAGAGAGGTATTTTACTATCAAACATATATTTTGTTCCCATACTGAAGCTTTTGCCAGTTGCAGGTGTTTCCAGTCTTCTGCCTAATATTATTGGTAGACACACACCGTAGGAATGGACAGAGTAAGAGTTTGGCTCTGCTTTACATGCTTTATATAGAGAGAGCATAAATAGCCATGGTAAATAATAGAGTTGGTAAGTATGGTAAATAATAGAGACTTCTTCTCTTTCTAATTTACTGTTGGAGCTCATTTAGCTCAGTTTTGTCTTTGTGATATTATAAACCAAGGAGAACTCCATGTAAGGCAACAGGGACAGTTTGGTTGGAAATAAGAAGACAATGGAACGAGACTCATTGGAACCATTTACATATTGGAGAAATTAGTTGAAAAACATTCTCTGTTTCTTTTCCCCTCTTACCATATAATACTGCAGTTATGTTCTGGTTTGGGAATTTGAGTTTTGAGTACCCAAAGCTAAAATAGGGCAGAAATGGCAGAAAAGTACAAAAATGGCTGGCAACTTGAGCTAGACCATGGTTTTCAAAATCTCAGAGCCAGCAGCAATACCTGTTTTTGAGAGGACTACAATACAGTCCTGAGACTTCTCACCTCTGGGATTAAGAAATAGTATTTCGACACCGAGGGCACGTGTGGAACAGATGACTGATGACTTCTGTTCCATGCAATGCTCCTCCTTGGCTTACGAGGAAGACAGAGCAAGGGCTCTGCCCATTCCCTAAGCTTACCTACACATCCCTTTTACATCAGCCTTGCCCAAAACTGCTTTTCCTTGTAAAGTTATCTGCATGACAAAAAGATAACCAATAGCAGGGCATGAGCAACACCTACTTTCTGTGGGCCATCTCACGTCAAACTAGAAAGAAATCTCTGCCTATTTTGCTGGAATTGCCTGTAAGGGTTTCAATGCTGCTTCATTGCCCGAAAACACATCACTGTGCTTCTTTGTCCTTCTTACACACAAGTTACCTGCTGCTACTCCTAATAGCGAGGAACGAAACAAAAAGGAAAAAACCCAAAGTATTTGCTGGAACAAACTGGGTGAGCTTGTTCTCTCCTTTAATTAAGATTCTTTTTTCTGGTTGTTATGAAGAATCTGCTTTACTGCATCTAGTAGAAATTTTAACATTTTTCATTTGTATTCTGTTTTCTTTTACTAGACCATTGCAGACATAGTTTCTTGTTTTTCTGTAAACATATCCACTAAGAGAAAGCCACTCTTTAATCTGTTCCAAACTCGTCCAAGTTTTACTGACTTACCCCTTAAGCATAAGTCATCCGCACACGATGTATCTACTTATAAAGGTAGTTTCTACATTAATTTGCTAATATTTTGCCTTTCAGGTGAACCACAGGAATCCAATAAAGGAAAGGAAAACATAAAGAGGCATTCCTGCTCTCACACTGCCTTTTACCAAGGCAGGCTGCAAGTCTTGCTCTCCTCTCACCCACTGCAGGAACTCCCCCAATGTTCGCTATTCTCGGGTTCAAGTTTTAGGCTGGCAACATGCCAGTGAGTTCATTAATGGCACGCTGGATAACAGCGCAGACACAATCCTCTGGGATTTAAACAACATTTTAACAGCAACATTGTGATTGCTAGAAGAAATTAAACTCTGGCTGGCCCGAGCTGTCTCAGGGGGTCCAAGTACCCACATGTAGCAGATAATATAATAGACTGTTACCTCCCATCTGTAGGCAGCTTTGGGAGACCAGATGTCTCTTGCCTTAGTAGCTAACTATCTGCAAACTGAAGTGTGCAAAGCTAACATATTTTTGCAGTCACCTCACTGCTTACTTTGGGGATTTGATTTTTGGCTAAAATGATCAGGTCTCATTAATCCTGAAAACCTCCTAGGACTGGAGATAACTGAAAACCAGAATCCAAATCTTCATGGTTTAGGAAGTTACTTGGGGATCCATCCCGCTTTCCTCGTGCACCTGCAAGTACAGCTTCCTTTGTTTGTTCTGGAAACAGAGCTTTAAAAAAAAAAAAAAAAAAAGAAAGAAAGAAAATGAAAACCATAACACAAGCAAATGCTCCTGGCTGTGTGGGATGTTCCCTGAAATGAGAAAACGCCTGTACCAATAAACCATGTCCAGTGGCCCCAGGCCATCCCCACTCACTGGGCTGTGTGGAGGTGGATGGGGACGCTCTGGGACATCTGTGCGGGTCACTGCTATGTGGGTCACGGCTGTACAGGGCATGGCTGTGCAGTTCACAGCTGTGTGGGTCACTGTTGTGCAGGGCACCGCTGGGTGGGACATTGCTGTGCAGATCAGTCCTGTGAGGGCCACTGCTGTGCAGGACATGGCTGTGTGAGACTGCTGTGCAGGACGTTGTTCTGTGGCTCACCATGGCGTGATATACCACTGTGCAGGACATCGCTGTGTGGGAGGGACATCACTGTGCGGGACATTGCTGTGGGGGTCATCACCATGTGGGACGTGAGGGACATCACTGTGGGAGACACTGCTGTGGGGGACATCGCGGGTCACCACTGTGTGGGTCCCTGCAATGTGGAACACTACTGTGTAGGCTATGGCTGTGTGGGACGTGGTTGTGTGGGTCACTGCTGTGCGGGACTTCATTGGATGGTACATGGCTGTGTGGGACATGGCAGTGCAGGACATCCCTGTACAGGACATCACTGAGAGGGTCATGGCTGGGCAGGACATCACTGTGTGGGACATTGCCGTGTGGGACGTTGCTGTGTGGGTCACTGCTGTGCGGGACATTCTTGTACGGGACATTACTGTGTGGGACATCACTGTGTCAGACGTGACTGTGTGGGTCACTGATGTGAGGGACATCCCTGTACAGGACATTGCTGCGCGGGTCATGGCTGTGCGGGACATCAGTGTGTGGGACATCGCTGTGTTGGACATGGCCTGTGTGGGTCACTTCTGTGCTGGACATCCCTGTACAGCACATCACTGTGCGGGACATCATTGAGTGGGTCACTGCCATGCGGATCCCGTGAGGAACATCCCCGTGTGGAACAACACCGCCTCGCAGGACACCCCCGGAGGCGCGCATCCCCCCCTCACCTCCCGTTCCCCCCACACCCCGAACCTTCGCCGCAGCAGCTTTAGCGCTGCCGG